CCCCCGGGGCCTCCTTCTCCCGGGGGAGGAGGGGGTTTTGGCCGGGGGGGGGGGGGCCGTTTCCAAAAAAGAGGGGGGCCCGACCATAATAATGGGGGTTCCCCCCCCGGAGGTTTTAATTTATTTTTTTTTTTTTCCCCTTGTTTTCCTTTTGGGGCTTTTTTTTTTTTTTTTCCCCCTTGCGGGTTTGCTTTTGGGGGCCAATGGGTTTTTTTTTTTTTGTTTTTTTTTTTTTTTGGGCAAAGCAGTTTTTTTTTCCCCCCCCCCCCCCCCCCTACGGCACTTGAGGAAATCCCCTGGTTTTGATCTTATCACGAGATGTCGTTCAGGATTAACCACTATCACGCGTTCGGGGGCGCGCTCTCTTGCGGCAGAAAAAACACGCGTGTGCGGATTCAATTTTACCTTGTTTCCAGGAGGCGGGATAGGGACAGAAGAGCGGAGGTCGATCATGGGCGTCTCTATCTCGGAGCGGCAGGACCGTATCGAGGAGCGAGGGATGAGGAACGCGATTAGCCGCAAGGGGGTGTTCGGCAGGGAGACCGACTGGTCCATCGACCGGCGAGTCATGCCGGTTCGGCTAGACAGGCCGAGGCGGAGCGAACGGTGAGTGATGCGCACTTCTCCAGAACAATCAACAGTTGGGAGACAACAGAAAATATATCTATTGAGGGTATGTTGTTCTTAACATTTTGAGGTGTTTGAAGGACAAGTTTTCCTTGTTGTTTTTTTGGCGTGATCGGCGGCGTGTTCGCTCTCGTTGTTGGCTGTCTTCTTGCTAGTGTGCTAGTACTTGTCAGGGCGAATGAGAGCGACCTGTGTGTTTTTTTTTTTTTTTTTGGTGGCGTGGTCGGCGGCTTGTTTTCTCTTGCTGTTTGTTGCCTTCTTGCTTGTGCTGATATTCAGGGCGAGGGAGATAAACGCAGTGAATTTTCTATTTTGTTTGGCGCGGTAGGCGGCTTGTTTTCTCTTGTTGGTTGTCTTCTTTCCAGTAGTAATAGTGCTGATGTTTCTCAACTTTGTGCGAAAAGCACAATTTAGTACCATAGACTACGGCGTCGCTCCAAGCTATCCACGACGGCCTTCGCTCCCAGAACCTTCTCTGCCCAGTTTTTTTTTCAGGTCCAGTGGCACCGCAGTAAGTGAGTCAGTCTCGGAACACGACCGTAAGTTCATTGTCTCGCCGGACCCATGCACCAATGAGTGAGATAAAACACGACGGTTCGTGTACCAGGGCAATTTGTTCGCACGTGTGCAGCTCTACTGGTGGTTGCTGTGTTCTGTGTCCCAGTGTTTCATTATCCATTGGATTGTGTTGGCACAGCCGCAGCTCTGCTTATGATTGTCTTAGGTCTGAAAAATCCGTACCTTCAGAAGTCAAGGCGTCGAAGTTTATCCCCTTCGGCGACGGTGTTCTTCGCACAGACCGTGCAGGAGAGTGAAATCATGCACGAAAAATACGTCTTCTTTGACGGACTCGAGGAGCACCACCAGCCCAGGCTCCCTCTGACACTTTCCGCGCCCAAGCTCTCTGGTTTGCTGGTGTGCGCTTTCGAGATCATCCGTCGCGGGCTCGGGGTGCACGCCCTCATTGCTTAGCTGTCTGAAACGTGGCAAATCGCCTTCCGTAGGAGGCGGAGCGACGACACCCCACTCGGCCGATTTTCAGAGCCTGATCGCTTCACGACCAAGGCAAAAAACGGTGGTTTTGGAATCATCTCGTTGAGGGCTTTCCTTTGATGCATCGAGCTCTTTCTGCATTCCAATGGTTGTGGAGCAACGGAGCTTTGAAAGTCGACCTAGGGGGCGTGCCATCTCTCCGCCTCTTACGGACCAGACTCGATGAGTGCGGTTATAGCGGGCCGACTATTGGGCAAACCTGAAACCGCGGCCACAAGAAGAGGTGTTGAGCGGATGTACCATTCGCGTGGGAGAACTCATGTGGACATCGCTCTGTCTGTCTGTCTGTCTGTCTGTCTGTCTATCTCTCTCTCCTTCTCTCTGTCTCTCTGTCTCTCTGTCTCTCTATCTGCCTGTCTCTCTGTCTATCTGTCTGTCTGTCTCTCTCTGTCTCTCTGCCTCTTTTTCTGTCTATCTCTCTGTCTGCTTGTCTCTCTCTCTCCCTCTCTCTCTCTCCCCCCCTCTCTCGCTCCCTCCCCCCCCCCCTGCTCTCCTTTTTCCCTCTCTCTCTCTCTCCCCCTCTCTTTTTTTTCTTGCTATGTCTTTCCCCCCCCTTTATCTCCCCCCCTCTCTCCCCCGAAAATCTTTTTGGTTCTTTTTTTTTCGAGTTGG